GGGGGGTCCTTTTTATGTTTGTTTTCATAAAAATCTTATTATAAAAAAATGTATGGACGGGAACAGTGTTTTCGAGTGTCTGGTCTAGTCAGAAATAAAAGAAATGAACCACCACTCAAGTCTCTTCCACTTTCAAAACGGGCTTATTTGTTTTTTCCGTAAGGAGTTACAGACATTTTAACCCTATCCGTACGTCCGGTGACATTATGTACCCCGGGGTTGTATTCTTCACATTCTAGAATACTTCTAGTACGAGGATGTCTTTGAAACTTTCAGTATTTCTCAAAAAAATCAGTTTGACAGACTGCTAGGCAAAGCGTACAAATCGGATTAACGAGTAAATTTCCCATTTGGATACGATAGTAAAGCACGACGTACGGCTAGGGTGAAATCAAACCTATAAAGCATCTTTTTATAACAGTTTTATTTCTCTTTTTTTTCCTTCTTCTCTCATCTCTTGTGATCTTTGATCTCATCTCTCCTCACCCATCTACTCCCAAATCATTGAATCTTACTCCTCGTCATCTGATCTCTTCCGATCTCGCTCGAAGCACTTTTCTTCATTTATTGTATCTTCCTATTTCCTTCAGTCTAATTTCATCTCACCTCACCCCATCTATTGTGATCTTATGCAGCCCTTTCCCTATTCTTCCGGACATTTTCTTCAAACCTTGATTGGTTTAGCTCGTCAATCTGTTCCCATCATACCTTTCATTTATCTCATCTTCTAAATCCATCTTGCATGTTTTCCTTTCTCTGTAGACACTTCACTCAGTCTCATCTCATCTAACTGTGACACGTCCAACCATTCACCCAAGCCCAAAAAGACTAAAAACATTTTAAAAGAAATAGTATCGTACAAGAGACCATGAAGATGTATGCAGTTCAAATTTCACCAATGGATGAGTGCGTGTGATTGTCTTGTATTGTCCCCGAAAAGGAAACGTTGTTAATGACATAGTTTTTGTATCAGAACGCATGTCAATGCGAAAATGTTGATAAAATTTCAAGGAAATACTTGATAGTATAATAAAGTATTGTTTCGTGTTTTACTCCGATACAACTTAGATCCTTTAGCTCGCGTCGCGTGCTGCTTCGGCTCTGTTGAGCGAACTAGTCAAATACGAGCGAGCTACAACATCCCAACAGAAAAACAAGAAGCAAACTGACGTCTTTTACGTGAAAAAAAATGGTCGCTTTTAAGCACAAGGGGGCTATCCCCAAAAAAGCTGTTTAGAGAAAATCGAAGGTAAAGTTTTTGCCCCTCATTCAGTTTCTTTAAAAGACAAGGAGATTTTTCTCAATAACCAAATAAATGTACACACCAACGGAACCAAACTTCCCCTATAGGTAGGGCAATGTCCACTTTTAGTGTACGTCAACATTTCTGGGAACCTCCTAAATCATTGTTAGCCCGCTTGTCCTTAAAAGCGACCAGTTGTTGTTTCGTGTTTTACTCCGATACAGCTTCGATCCTTTAGCTCGCGTACTGCTTCCGTTCTGTTGGGAGAACTAGTCAAATACGAGCGAGCTTCAGCCTTGCATCAGAAAAACTAGATACGAACTGACATCTTTTACATGAAAAAATAACCTATCCACTACACCACAACGACTGTTTATGATTCTGAGATGCCTGTGACATCAATCAAACAGACGTGTGTTCTATTCTTGTGAACCTTTACCTCTTAATCAGATAATGATTAAGTGGATGGGTTG